TTTTTTTCCACAGATTTATCTTTTTTACACCAAGGAATCTCTCTCTCTCTCTGGATGTATTTCATGATTGTTGCGTGAGCCTTGTGGAAATGATGCTCTTACCCTTGTTTTTCACTCCATCAGAATTGGAAAATACTGGAGCTTTTTTTGTTTAATATTTTTCTTCACTAATATTAAATGTTTACCGTTAGTCTATTAGAATGGTAAAGTATTAGATTAACAATCGATGGATACAAATTGGTAAATCGTTTTAGCTTGATGATCGTTAACTTGCCCACACCCAGAACAGAATCCACTCAATGATTGTGATGATGGAGAGGAGGAGTTTTTATATGTCTTATAATTTATCGAGGAAATGGTGATAGTGATGAAGAAGATGATTTAATAGATTTGATTTCTTTTTTCTTTCGAAAGTGAGAAGAGAACAGAAATAAACACGAAATAGAATTTTCATCCGGAAGTTGGCATTGATGCTATTACATGATGATCATCATTGGTTTGGTAGAAATTGCAATAGAGAAAGAGAGAAAGTAGGTGAGAGAAAACTAATCATGATATAATGATGATGGGATAAGATTATCAGAAGAAGATGAAGAAAACATTTCTCTTCATGGTGATGATAATGAACTTACTATTCAACAAGAAGTTAATATAATGTATCATTCTTAGAACCCTCCTCAGAATAGTATCATGATGATTATCATGATAATGATGATGATGATTAGTTTTTCTTTCTTTTCTGGCTCTCTCTCTCTCTCTCTCTCTCTCTTGCTCTCTCTTTAAAGATATTATATTCAAATCTCTGAATAATTTTATTCCAAATTTTTTATGTTATTCAAAATTGTTGTTTCTTTTTTATTTCTCTTTATGATTGTTTTATATTCAAATTCATTTTCCAAAATCCAAATTGAATTTCAATCTCATCGTTTCCTGAACTATCATGATGATGATTATGATGATAATGAGGCTGATGAAACTTTTAATGTTCTAATATTGATCAGAATTTAAAACTATTAATACCAAACAGAATTGAAACTTAATATTAATGTTACGATGATTAAAATTATCTTTTTTGCTCATGGATGAGAATCTATTGATTAATATTAACAATTTTTTCGTAAATTACATTTTAAATTTCATGATAAGCTATTCATGAATATTCATTTAGAAGAAGAAAAAATTTTCTTCTCTTCTTTTGTTCTTTCATCATTTTCATGCTGATTCAGTAATTATTTAGCTCTGATTGTTGCATTTTCTGCTTACTTGTTACTCATCTTACCTTTAGTTTGTTGGTTTAGGTTGAAAGGTGAAAGAGTGAAAAAGTCTCAGGGTGAATGAAATTCATATTTCATGATATTCATATTAATCTATACACATAAATGTTTCCATTGCCACTCTTATTGTGTCAACATGATAACGATAACTGAGTAAATATCAAATTTAAAATTAGCTTGAAAATTGATACAATCAAGTTGATAATTCAATATGATTTTTGTGTCCGTGGGGATGATGATGATGATGAAAATGAAGATGAGCAAAAAAAAGAAAGACAAATTTTCTCTTTGTCTCTATTACTATGATGGAAACAGCTGTAGGTCATCATCATCTTTGTGAAGATGATGATGATACTTGAAAAGACTGACGATGTTTACTTTGATCATCTGGATGTTTCATTGAAAAGATGAAGAGCAATTGAGTGGGTTAGGGTTGGAGATGAAGATAATTCTTAGTCGACCAAAAATGAAGAGGAAAAAATTATGTTGGTAATAAGGATGCGGAATAATGATGAAAATGCTGGAAGGAAGTTGGAAAGATGCTATTTTTTTTATCTTACATAAAGTAAGATGATAAAAATGATGAAATCATAATTGCAATCAAGGTTTTTAGACGATCAATTGATTGTTGATTATTATTATTATTGATATTTCATTGAGATTGCGTTTCATGATGATTGGTATGATTCAGTTATTCAATATTTAATTCAGTTGATGATGTAATTATTATTATGGATTCTGAGTGACGGAAAAAGCAAGAGAGAGAGAGAGAGAGAGAGAGAGAGAGAGGAGAGATACTGAGTTTATCTGAATGAAATGATTGAAAAAAAAGCTAATGAACCTAAAAAAAATATGTAACATAAATTTTTATCATGATTCTCATGATGTATTCATGGTGAATATGAATCGTTATCATGATAGTCATAACAGTCTATCATGATATTGATTATCTTTGATGGGGAAAAATTAATGAACCACTACAATTTGTAAAGGAAAAGCAATAACAATCAATGAGTAATCAAAATGTCTAATCAATTACATCCCATAACTAATTGTTATCGTATCAATTAATTTGATTGTTAATGTTTTTCAATCCATTGTCATCATGTTGATAATTATATTAGCATATTTTTCATGGTAATAAATTGTCTCAAAGTTTTATTGTTTTCTCGTTTTCTTGCTTCTTTTTTTTAATATTCACCACGATTATCATAGTGAACTTATTTGATTGAATAAAACTTTTTCTCTGGGAGAAAATTTCAATTGATTTACCTGAAAGAGAGAGAGAGAGAGAGAGAGAGAAAATTAATTCAACCCTCAGGGAGATTACTGCTAATTTCATTTTCCTGGTTATTTTCAACTGTATCAGTTTTTTTTATTCTTTTATAGTTATCAGACTGTACACAGAATCTGATAAAGTTAAAACTGTCGATAGAGATTGGTTACTATTGGTCAGTCCATTGGAATCGTGGAATTGACCTTAATAATAAAGGTAAGAAACTTTTTATCTTCTTCTTGTATTCATCTTATTCAGTCTTACCCTCTCTTTTCCTAAGGAAACAACAAGAAAAAAAGTAAATAAATACAGAGCAGATTAGAGTGAACTTCATCCAAGCGTATTAACTAAAACTTGAGTTTCTTCAAGCAAATCTTATGGTCAAAAGGAGTAGTGGACAACATCAGTTGACAGTAACAGTTATATTAGTAATCTAGCAAGAAGAAAAAAAAATCCTGACTTGAGTTTTATCAAGTAATTAACAAAACTTGAATCTCTTTAGTGTTTTTCATGAGTTCATGATGAAATCAGTCTGAAGGATGAAAGATAAGGATGAGTTGTTGTTGTTGTTGTTGTTGTTGTTGTTGTTGTTGATAATGATGATGATGACGATGATGATAATGATGAAATTACTGAGGATGTTAAGACTTTCAATCAACTGTAAACTCATACAACTAATATTAACCTTAGTAAATGAAAATATTTATCTCAAAACAACACAGACAAGGAAAAAAAATCAATCTAATTTACCTAATTAACTTGTTTACATCTTAATCATGTTAAACAAGTCAAGATAATTAAATATTAATTGTTAATAAAGTCAACATCTTAGACTCAATCCAGGTAAAAATCTCAAGAAAAGATAATCAATTTTAATCTAATTTTCATCGGAAACGAAAAGCAAACCACAATTGAATAATTTACCGTTAATCTAACGTTAATAACATTGTGAAACCAAATTGATTACAATTATAACCACCAAGACAATTAAACTAATTGTATCAACAATATTTATCTTATAGCAATTGGAAATATCTTTTAATGGTAATCGTCATGTTAGTAGGTTAATCATGTTAATCAGCTGTTAAATCACAATTGTAACATTTAATATGTATACAAATCGTAATCCTGTCAGTGTGTCAGATGATTATCATTCATCCTGATCTCCAGAATCATCATGTATTGATGATTCATCCTAGAATTGGATAGATAATATCTACTATATTTGTTTACCTTTGTCATCAATTTGATAGTAATAAAAATCATTAATATTAGACAAAACTAAGAGATGAATCTATTTAAAGCTTGTTAATCCTTAATCCTTAGATTGTAACACCTTAGCCTTACTAATAACATGATATTTCATCATCGTATCAATTGATATATAATAAGAATTAGGTTAAAGTAAAGGTTAGTTTCAAATATTTATCATCAAGATTGTCGGGTAAATAATGACTAGCCCCAAGAATAGACTCTCCGGATTATTACTCAGAATTGTAATCACAGAATCCATGAGAATCTTTAGTTGGACATTAATTTCGTTCTTTCCTGTCTCTCTCTCTCTCTCTTCTTCATCCAAATAATAATATGAGGAGGAAAATTCTGGTAATTGCCAATGATTTCACCTCAACATCTTCTTCGTCTAATTCTTCCTCTTCTTTGTCACCTTCTTTTTTATTATTATTCTTTTTCATCTTATCTATTATTCTTCTAGGCTTATTTCCATCTTTATCTCCATCATCATCTATCCATCTTCCTTATTATCCTTTTCTCTTTCTAGATCAGCTTTTCATTTACTTCCTCCACCTCATTCCCTGTGAGTATTTCCAGAATTTCCTCTTCCCTTTTTTTCTGCTGCTTTCTATTCACTTAATAATAGTTACACACACACACACACACACTGAATTTACTCCAACCCCACAGGCCCCTACACACTCACCACCTCTACTAAAACCTACAACTCTTACTCACACCACTCATTGACTCGAAGAGGCTAAAGTTCAATGTAATCTTTATCCTCCAACACAACATGAATCATTATATAACAACAGGAACATGAACAATAACTTATTACATGGGGGTCATGTTTCATTCTCAATCTTATATATCGATATTTTTCTTCTTCTTCTTCTTCTTTCTCTTCTCCTTAGCAATTTCATTTAATCAATGGATCATGATTATGATAAATGGAATTGAAGAAAAAATTTTCCCTTGGATTATGCAGATAATAATATTAATGATCAATAAGATATCGGCAAATCTCACCAAAGCTACAGGAACATGATGATCATCTTCTTAATGATAACTGAATCGTAATATAAGACATTTATCGTGTTTTACCTGTGCAAAGAAAAAAGAAAATCACAATTTTATTACCTGATGAAACTGCGAAACATGAGAAATATTATTAATGTTATTACATAATAATCTGAATAAATGAAGAAACAAAATCTTAACGAACTCATTTTTTATTGATACAAATGCGGTTGTTGGTTTTTTTTGGTTTTCTTGTATTGTAAGGGTCAGTTTACATTGACCACATAGATCGTATTTGTTTCTTCATCATTCTCATCAACTAGATAACTTTCAGTTGAACATTGAAGTGACAATTCTGAAGGTTCAGTTAATGTCCTTGTGACCCGATTCTTGGTTCTATTGGTTTGATTGTGACGATGAACATGGGAATCGTCAATTGATTGACTGTCCATAAGTTCATCCGATGTTGGTGTTGAAAGAAATTTTGACCTTGAAATGCAAGGTGAACCCACTAAGGATAAAGTTTCACACCTTTTTGGAAACACAAATGATAATCCACCAGCAATTAAGCAGCTTAATCCACATAATCCAATTGCTATTGAGCTATCGTACATTTCACCCTGATGAGATGAAAGAAAAGTTGTTAATGATTATTTTTATTCTTAAATTGGAAACAATTAACTCTAATTAGAATTATTTTCGCGTAAGAATGCAAGAAGAAAATTACAAGATTCAGGTGATGAAATTCTGACAGGATAAAAGTTCTGATTCTATCTGTTTCTTTTTCCTATTTCTTTCAATCTTTAGGTTGTTTTTTTCGCTTCTCCCTAATGAGTTTTTTTCTCCTCAAATGATGTGAAACTTGTCATTTATTTAGATTGTAATTGCAATTAATTGTTAACAACTTTTTTTTTCTCAACCAAATTGTATTATTCAAGAAGTTGAATTAATTAAACAGTAATCATGATTATGATTCTGTTGATTAACTTACCAGAACTATTAGATTGGGTGCAGCAAGTTTACCAAGGATTCCAGATCCATAGACAAGTGTAAATCCAATGGCCCTGGAATGATAATGGTTGCATGATGATGGTAAATTCATGGTGATGATTAGTTTGTTTTTCAGGTGAAATTTTTTTCATATATGTTTAGTTTTCCATCAATTGATATAATCAGTTGATTGCATGTAAGTAAAAATTGTTTACCTTATTTCGGTGGGCAGAGTTTGTAAGGAATGGAACCAAATCATTGGTGGTAAGATTGAAATGATTACCTGGGAGGCTCGAAAAAAAGTCGATGGAAGTAAAAGTAATCGAAGATCAAACCAATCTGAGAATTTAATTTTTATAATATTAATAGAATTTCCAAGTTTTCGAATCAAATTTTAATTCAATGTAATTGAATGTGAGAGAGAGAGAGAGAAGAAAATCTAATTAGAATTCAATGATGAACAGAGTTACAGAATTAAGATTGTATTAATTTTCTATTCAATGTATTACATATGAATCATTGATTTTGTTTCAAGTTGATCAACAATTCAATTCTGATTCATTCATAAAACATTTCATGTGAATGAATTCAATAGATTCAATTTGAGAGAGAGAAAAAATCTTCCAAACACTCACCGTACTCAGTTAATATTGGTAATAACTTTTGAAAGGTAATGGTGATCACCATGAGTAGACCAGGTAACAGAAAAAGTATCGCCTGAACACCATGAAAACCAAACCTGGAAAATAAGATGAGGATAAAAAAAGATAATCTCATGTTGAGCCAAATAAAAAGAAGACAAAGTTTCAAGCTCTAAATTGTGAATTGCTCAAAGTTATATAAATAAACTCCATGTAAATTCATGAGTTGAGAGTGGAAACTTTTTTTCAAACGATTGAAACTCTTATTTCACCTGAATAACAATAAAGGTGAAAACGTAAACATGAAATAAAAACAACAGAAAACAAAAGTTCTGGTTCATAAGGTGAATTAATTGAGTTGAAAGAGTTACAATAAAGTGAAACTATTTCCGTTTCCATATATATTATTACATATTCAATTGGAAGAATTGAGAGAAAAAAAGTTCTAATCATATTTCGATTCTGAAAGGGAATGAAATTACTCATAGAAAGAGAATAAAAATGAAAGAAATTTCTCTCTTTCCATGAAATTTTTTTTTCTTCTTCATTCAGAATTACCTGGAAGAGAAGGAAAAAAAAAGTTCTTAAGTTATGATATTTGAAGATAATTGAATCTATTAGCTGAACCATGAATATGAATATTGTTATGAAATAATAAGTTATTATGAAACCTCATGTAATTCAGATTCTCTCAATAATGATACAGGATAATAACCACCAAGGAGATGATATTATTACAAGAGTCATGTAGACACATGATGAAATCATGAGTGATGTTGATATGAATCCATCATGTAGAGACAATGAATGAAACCAGAAAACACAGGAAATACATGATAGGAGGGAGGGTGGAATATGAGATTAGGTTAAAAAGTACATATGATTCTTGGGTAAGATGAGATGTGATGAATTGATGCTCATGGGAAACTGCATGGAAAATATAACGAGTAGATAATTTGTAAGATGAACTTGAACACTGAACTCTGAATATGCTGATTAACTTACCTGGTTAATAGGAGTAAATAGATGATGATTATTATCCCAAGGTTCATGAGACCTGAGTAAAGGTAATCGGTGGGTTTAGGCTCACGGAATTGAAATATTTGAGGTTCAAGAGTATCCAAGGTAAGGTGAGTGGTAAAGGTAAAGTATAAATTGGTTATTGCACACCAATGATAATAATTACATTGAAAAATTGAGGTAAAGGTGAAAATTGTTGAGAGGGATGAGGATGGAGATGGAGATAACTTCATGAGGAAAATTGAATATTGTCAATCAAAGTTTTCCAATGAATTTTTGTTTTCTGAAGTTTCACTTGTGAAAAAAAAAGATATTTATTATTTCATTCAAAATATTGAACAAATTTACATGATAAAAGTTTTTTTGTTTCTCGAGAATTGAATTAATTAAATTGATTGGAAAACCATTTTGGTTTCAACTGTTTGATTGATATTTAGTAATTGTTAACAATTTACCATTTTGGTTACTATTTTGTTGCTGTTGTTGTTGATTGTTGATTGTTGTTTACCCTTTACCCTTGATTTGCAAAAAAGTTTACACAATTAAAATGTTCATTATCATGATTATCATGATTGATTTTCAGCTGATTATGATTGGACTTTCTTATTATCATTATTGATCATTTGATTAGAAATCGTTAACTACAATTCAACATTTTCACTTGAAGTAATTTACTATTAGGTCATTTGAGTTTGAAGTAATCAACTTAATGGTAATTAGTTTTTCACCGGTATATTAATTGTTTTTAGTTTATTTATCGTTTATCAACCTGATCAATAATATAAATTTAAAGTTTACCAAAAAATTGTTCAACTTTTAATCTGCTTTTTTTTTCAACAATCAATTCTGATTATACAATTTAAACTGATTCGGCTCAATGATTATATTAATTTACAATTAATAGATATTGTTATTAAGTATCTAATCAAGGCCTGATTCAAACAATTAAAGGGAGACACAATCATAACTATCTAAATATTAATTAATAGTTGATAGAATTGGAAAAAGTGAAGACTCAACGATTTACCTTCGAGTTCATATTGTTTATAATATCGTTTCGTGGGTTCGTTTGTGAACTTAACTCGAAGTGAGAGAAAAAAAAAGTTCCATTCATTTGATGAGAAATTTTAACTCAAACTATTCAATAAATTTTCTCACAGTTAATTAGACATAAATTTCTCTAATTCGACAATTAAGCTAATTGTCAAAGTTTTAATGCCAAAAACTTGGAGATTAATTCAATCTAATCAACAAAACTTTTCAACTTTACGCTCTTTACATGCTGCCATCTATTGGTCGATTTCGTAACTTTTATCGAAACTTTTGAAAAGTTGGAAAAAAAAATTTCTTTTCTCTCATCCAATTAGATGTAATATTTTTCTTTGTTGTTATGATTACAATTAGTTAATCAGTTGAGATGATTAAATTGATAGTCAATGATTGTGTTTATTGTAGTAAATTATAAACTAATAGTTTGTGTGTTAACAAAATGTAATCAAAAACAAAGGTGAAAAAATTTTTTTTGGACTCGAATCATAATAATCAATTAGATGGACAGTTAATTATAATTATTAAATATTTGTCTTGTTTAACAATTAACTAGTTTTTTAACAAGATTATTTTCGTTAATTGTTATTGGTTGACTTGAATTAACTTGTGATTTAGGTGAAATAGTTTCTACTACAACAGGTAAAGATGTTGATTTGTCATCGATTGTGTTATTATTGTTAATTGTTGATGGTGATGAAGTTATTTCAATGATTTGTGAAGGTAAATGATGATGAGAATGATGATGAAGGGGTGGCAGTTTATGGTGATTGTGGTTATGGTGATGATGATCAGGAAGAGATGAGGGGAAACTGTTTATTGATTCAATGTCCGGTAAACCTTCATCAGGAGATTGATGTTCATTAGCTAAAAGGATTACCTGGATTCGAGCAATTTTAACCTCAAGTTCTTGAAGTTTATGTTGAAAATCTTTAGGAATACAAGGATTAGAGGATGAAGAATCTTTTACCATATTAGTTTCACTTCCGGCTGATTTATTAGTCTCACTGAGAGATAATTTTCCTTCCTTAGAATCAGAGTTTCCACCAACATTACAACTACCGGTTGAATTGGGACGAGATGAACTTCTCAATGATGAACCTCGACGTTTCCTCGATTCAAGTTTACCAATATAACTTTTAGCATTTTTCAATGATCTCTCCGAAATTGATAACTTATTGGTCAGGTCATTTAAACGATCTCTCATCAGGTTGATCTCTGCTGAGTGAACTTCCTGTAAACCGGAAACTTCACCTTCAACCTGTTGTAGGCCATCTCAAGGTAATCGTAGTTTATGTGTGACTCTTGAAGTTCACGGTTCAACTCGTCCAATCGAGCGTACAATTTACCGGTCACTTTTTTGTACCTTTCGGCTTCCGATAGTCTTCGTTCTTTCTCAAATTTAAGGCCATTTTTCACCTCATCAAGTTGACCTGTTAACGAATCACTTTCCGCTTTCAGGTTAATATTTTCTTCCTCTTTGGATCGAAGCTCATCTCGAAGACTGGCAATTTTCCGTTGACACTCTTCCAATGATTTAAGTCTCGTTTGGCACACTGAATCTAATTGTAAAATCGTCGACTTTAATTGTTGATGGTTAACAATATCATCCGAACCATTAACAGTCGTTAATCCATTGATATTTTCCCCACCACCATTTATTAATCCAATTGACTCCATTTTCTTGGTCTCTTGATTTTCGAGCTTCTTTTTACCTTCTACCGGTGTGGTTGCCGCTACCGTTGAGGCCACTGTTACCGTCGGTTCGGCAAATTTACCCAAATTTTCATACAATTTAAGTATCTCCTTAAATCGTGTCCCAGGAATATTTGATTTGTCATCATAATTAATACTATTATTATTATGATTAATATGATAATTGTTAGTTAACTGATGATGATTACCATTATTATGATGATCAAATTGATTGTTCATATTGTTAAATAGGTTAATCAGTTTGGCTCGATTATTTTCCTCGTTAATTAATTCCTTCCCATTGATTTTATTATTATCATTTCTATCAGTGCAATAATAATTATCATCAACATAATTTAATTGATTGTTAAGTTTATGATTAGAGTGATGATGATTAACTTGATTCAATTTATTATTATTCACTTTTGGTGTTGTCATTATTGTTGATGATGGTGGTGGTGGTGATGGTTTAGTTATGGGCAATGATGATAATGAATTTGATGTTGGCTTAATTGTTGTCAGTGAATTAATTGTATTCTCATTTTGATTATTAGTTATTTGCTGGGATGAATTTTGATTAACAATTAATTTCCTTCCATTTGATGGTGTTAATGGTCGTATTAATGAATTACCACAAGTTCCATTAACTAATTTGTTCCATTCTCTCTCAATTAAAGCATCATTAGTTAAATTATCTGCATCAATTATTGAACTATCAAGATCAATAATATTATCCTTTGTTGATTGTTGCTTGTTGTTGTTGTTACTATTTGTTGTCATTGTCGTTGTTGATAATAATTGGGTTGATTGTGATTTAATTAAATTGTTTCCATTTGATCCGTTTAGTATATTACAAGAACCAATAGTTTTCTGAGTGTCCATGAACTTTTTCGAGGTCAAAATTTCATAAATATTTTCACGATTTTTTCTTATCACATTGGCACCAACATGGTACAGATTATGTTCCGATCCATTCAAAGTTTTACTCCGGTTAACCTATTCAATGAAATAGAAATTCAAATGAAACAATTAGCTAATTGTAGTCTAAAGATATTCTGATTGGAAATAAATATTTGTATATATAAGGAGAGAAACAGGAAAAGGAAATATTTACAAACAAATAAAAGGAGATGAGGAAACGGAAGTTATCTTATCAATAACAGTGTCTGCAACTTATCATCCTAATCTTCATCATCATCATCATCATTATCATCTTGATGGTGATTTTTTTAACTGTTTACTCAAAATTCAATTTAAATTAAATTAAAAACGTTTTGCCGGAAAAAAAGTTCATTCATTTGATTAACTTTATGATAACGAGACTGAATTATGATTATAATAACCGTTGATAATTTAATTTAACAACAAACCAATTATATTCATTAGCATCATGATATGGACACAATTAGTTAGTTTAACTGAAAGTTCATGACATTTTCGGCATTATTATTGTCATGATGATGGAGATGAAGTTCAATTAGAATCCAATCAAGTAACTGGAATGGATCCAAGAAAAAAGTTCTGAAGGGAAAGTGAAGAGAAATCATTTTGACCTGAAATTTACAGTTACATTTGCAATTCTAATGGTAAACTATTTTTCTTCATCATCATTATTATGATAGAAAAGAAAGAGGAAAAAAATTGAGAGAAAGAGGAACCAAAATCGATCGGTCATTTAGCTTTGGATTGATTTCAGGTCGTTAATCGGAGTTGATCGTGAGTATCGACTTGTCATTGACATGTAAGTTATTTTATCGATTTATCATCAATAATGATCATAATCATGTCGATGATGATGATGATAATAAGATGATAATTAAATGTTGATAATAATCAGTTTTCAAAGTGACGAAAACTTTTTCAGAACTTTTCGAGGGGAAGGAAAAACAAGTTCGATGGTTGAAAACTTTTCCTCTCGAATCCCATTTGTAACTGTTACTCTTAACAACAATTAATCATCCTGACAACCTAATCAAATATGAATAATTAACAAAGTCTAACATTTTAAACTGTCAACATTAATTAACAATTCACTAATTGCTAGGAAATAATAGTTACAAACCAAAAAGTTCAGCAATAATTTTCTGTTTTACCACAAAACCCAATCATAATAAAAAGAAATCATCCTAATTAACTAATTATCATTGAAATTAAAACGTCAATTAATATTTAACTTGAACCATTTAATCACAGTTACGATTGAAAGTGAATCAATGTAAACAATTAACTCGGTTACCTGATAGGTGTTAATATGTTATAATGATTATTGGTACTCTCATTAAACTATTGTGTGTGAGTGAGTGTGTTTGTGTTAATTGTGATTAGTGATATTAAATTGAATCGTTAATTAAGTTTCACTTTTTTTGCTTCGTTCATCATTAACAACAATCAGTCAGAAAAAAAAAGTAGTTGTAATATAAATACATCAAAATGACTTAACCAAAAAAAGCTCAACTTGACTTATATCATGATGATGATGATGATGGTGATTTATTATTGATGAATTTACTCAATAATCAACACCAGGTACCCACAATGAATGGATCATGATAGTAATACTGATATATAAGTGTATATGAAAACTATTCAGTGATGACGAATCACAAACTGTTATGAATTTTTCTATTCACCATGAAGGTGACAGTATCCGAGATTAAATTGTAGTAAACATGATACGTGAGATTTTGTACCGTTATAAACGGAAAGATCAATGTACTTGAATCTTGTAATCACTTTGTTATCATCATCTCTTTTATCTTCCTCCTTTATCATCTTCATCTTTTATCTCCTTCCTCCTCTCTCTCTCTCTCTTCCTGGAGTAAATGTTCATTCCGAATCACATAGAGATAAATGACTGAGTGAACAGTGAGATGAGGATACGGATGGTGAAGACGAAAATAGTAACGTTAAAATGAAAGAGAAAATCATCTTTTATCTTCCATCATCAATAAACAAAGAGAGAGAGAGAGAGAGAGAGAGAGAGAGAGAGAGAGAGAGAGAGAGAGAGAGATGAGATTTCCTCTCTATCATTTATTACTATCGTAATCGTCTAACTTTAGATTGGTTTTTGTTTACAAATCATCAATGATTAACTTAATCATAAATTGTTCCAATGTAAACAAATTGTGATCAAATGTATCAAGTGCTTTATTGAATTTAATGATAACGGAACTGATTAATTGTATATCTCTCTTTATTTTGATTAATATTAATAAACATTAAATTCTGTGCTTCCTCATTGAGCAATTACCTAATTATTATTAACTGGTAACTAACATTATCATCATGAGGGTTAATCAATTAATGATCATCTAGTTAATTGTATCCCCATGTTTGGTAATTAAAGATTAATTTTTCCTCTGGTTTTAGGTTGATTTGGGTTAACAACATGAATACAATTAAATCAAGATTCATTTCATTAATTGAATCTAAATACATTTTGATTACATGAGATTAGGTGTGAGATTAAATTATCTCAATGTTATTTTCTAAAATTAAATTAAATAAATTGTCATTTCATATAACAAACCTACGCTAATTGATTAACCTTAATTACGACGATATTTTAATAGTAAAATGGGCAAAGACTAAAAGTTTAATTGCAATTTAATTTCTGACAGTTTACTGATTTAATAGTGAATGAAACTTGAATGTTTTTTTTTTCATTTGAAAATATCAATTCTTATTTTCCTGAGCAACCGCTGATTCTGAGTGTTGTAACTTTCTGTTTACATGCTGATATCATGATAGTTCTGGTTTGACCAGGGGATGGATCATCTTCATTAATGATAATGAATCATGAGTCATGAATGATTAAGATCAAGTCCCATGAGTGGGTCACACGATGAGAGAGTAAGGTGAAAGGGAAATGGCTCATTTTCGTTGGCATGATTAGCTAGGGGATCGGTAAGTGGCCTGATTATCGGGCCAGCAAATATATTATCACACTGTCACCCTGAGGACATCAAGATATTCATCATTATTATTAATATGAACACTCATATGTGTGTTGGTGTGTTAGAGATCATGAATGATCATGTTGACCTAATGGAATCGGTTTTTTTTCTTCTTCATGTTGAGAGATATACACTCATTTGATTACTTAAATTGATTAACTAACAATTAATAAACTAATTCATTGATCCATTGAAAATCAATCCATCTTATTTATTGCCTTTTCAGTCAATTCTAATCATAATTTGATTCATCAGTCAATAAGTTCAACCATCAGAATACATTAGGAATCAATAACTGTTAGAACTTTTCCTCGAATTTATTTCGACAATCAAATTAAGGTTACACTTTTCTCACATTCTGACAATCAGTTAATTTAGTTAAACAATTGTAACATCAATTTCTTTACAATTAACTAACTATTATTATTATTTTCCGCTTCTAATTGTCAATTACTACAAGTCAATGAATTATTGGTTTTCTATTATTATCTCTCAATGTATGAGATAAATTATCCTCTTAATTGTTGTTGACTGTTTTTAATTATCCCTTAATGTCACTAATTGTTAACTGTTACAATTAAGTTTCTAAATTTTGATTGTGATTTGATTAATTGTCTTGAAGAGTCGATATAAGATTTTTTTGAGAGAAAAACTTTTTTCTTCAATTAAACTTTTTCTCTCCTCTCGAAACTTTGTCCAAACCATTTTAAAAGTGGACAACAACAGCTAATCAACGTTACAATTAACTAATTGTTTGATTGATTATATTAAAAGAAGCTGGATTATCTATTAATATAAAAGTGAATCAATTAACTAATTAAAAACTTTGTGAGAAAGAGAAACAAAAAACCAAATTAAATCAAAGAAAATTGTGATAATTAAGCCCAAAGGGAAAGAGAAAAAGTTTTCGCAATTCCAACAATTAAAGTTAATCAAATTCTATTAAATTAACTTTGTGATTTAGATAAATATATATATTGGAAAACTAATTAACTGTTGATTATTATTCTAATATTGTGTTCACTTATATAGTTAACCTGATAAATTGTTAACAATTAAGTAAAGAAAAGTTTAATTTTAGTAAATATTAGTTAATATATAAAAATACAATCAATTGAAATTGATTGTTACCATTTAGGTGAGAAAAAAAGTTGTTAATTAGTTAATTGTGATTGATATTAATAATAAATCTACTAACCATTTTACGATTATTGTCAATTTGATAACAATCAAAGCTTGAAAAGTCTCGACCAGAATGATAATTGTTATGATTAAGTTGATTATGGTGATTAGTTGATTGTCGTTCTTGAATCATTGATGTTGGTCCTTCTGAAGTTGATTCCAAGGTTTCAAAACGTGCTCGTGAGCTTGATCTGCTTTTTGTTAAACAATTAACACGCTAATTAGTATCAATTAAACGATCAGATAATTAAGGGCTAATTGTCAGTATTCACATTCGGCATGTGTGGTCAATTAAAGTGCAATTTAAATCGTAAAACTTGTTAATTGTTAATCATTTTCTTACCTTGATCGAGCCTTACCCTTTATCCGTGAATAGGGTGTCCGATTGATTGGTGGTGAAGGAGGAAGAATAGTGTAATCATCGTCATCTTTAATTTGGGAAACAATTAACGACTAATTAATATTCATATTCATCATGATTTACGCAGTTGTAGTTAATTTAATTTGGTTACACTATTGGTAATTGATTTACTTTTAGTAATACAACAATTTACATGGATTTTCATTCAAACTCACTTGATTCAGTTTAATCTCATTGATTGTGAGGTAATTGAAATGATAAATAGTAAATTAGATTAACTAATTAACTATTTTTATAATATAAACGATAATAAATTGTTGCTGGTTTAATGTTGTTACCATGACGTTAATTTAATTGTGGCTTTTTTTAGCAGCCACACAACAATTAAGGAAAACTTTTCTGGTATTATTTAATTGTTATACCAATGGTTAAATTGTTAATTTAATGATGATAATTGATTGTTTCAAATCTAAACAATTAACTAATAGCTAAATTAATGTGTGTATGTACATAAAAGTTTATTCAACTTTTGATTCAGTTGATCAAACAAACAATTTAAAATATTAACGTAGACATTAATTGTCTTTAACAATCAACTATACAACTAATATAAGAGTAGTAGATTTTATATAAAACTAATCAAGGAGACAATTAAATTAATTATCTCTTATAATGGAGGTTAATTGATCAACAATTTTTCAACTGATTAATAGAGAGAGGAAATAAATTGATGATAAAATTAATCGTAACAATTTAAAATGTCTTAATCTTTACACAATTAGAATCAATCAGATCGACAAATGATTACAGATATTAATCAAATTGACTAATTAACAGTAACAATCAACGAGTAAAGTGCAATCTTAATGATCTTTGTAATCTAATTAAATCTCAAATTACCTGAATTAACAATTAAATTGATTGATGGTGAGCTTCTGTTGATTCGGTTTGATAAACTGTTAATATGATTCCGTTGGTTAGATGATGATGATAGTGATGATGCTGAAGATGATGATGAAGAAGATGATGATTTAATAGTATCCATCCAACCTGATGATTGAGTTGATAAACTTAATTGTGGCGAGAAAATTTTACTCTCATCGTCCCACATCTAATTTGGTTATTAACCAAGTAACAACAATTAAGGATAAGACAACAATTAGTGATCAATAGGAAAGCAAATCATCAAAAAGGTTAATAGGAAACTTAAAAGTTAATCAAACCAATTGAAAGTGTTTAAATTGTCACAATTTTGGTCAATCAGGAAGTCTAATCATCAACAAAAGATGATTTATGATTTAATTGACAATTTTGACAACATCAATTGATCAACAAAATTAAAACATTATAATTAAGTTAATTGTGATTAATAAAAACAGGAAAGGCTTAAAATTTGATTTGTTAATTTCTTTAAACTTTTTTTTTTGTTAAAACTTTTGCACTTTTGCTTATTAATGTTGATTAAGTTGTTGTTGTTGATCAAAATTTGTTAATTGTAACAATTTGTTGATTTGATTGTTGATATCAAATTGAAGGGTAACCGTTTTTTTGCACAACAATTTAAATCAGCAAATTGTTAATCAAGTTAATTTGGTTTCCTTGCAAATGTAAAGTAAGAAAAAACTTGAAACATAAAAATCAGATCAAAGCGTGAAAACAAATTTCCTTGTTTATCTTGATTGGTGTTGATTGTTGGTTAATTTTTCTTGATTGTTCAATGAAAATCAACATCACCTAGCATTGTTAGATTGTAAATAGTGATGTTTAATCATGATGAGGTTGATTTGAAGGTATATTAATCCAATTAATCCATTAATTTATAAATACAAACTAATCCAATTGAAATTGAAAAACAAGAAACACAAAATTTAAACCAAAAAATTGAGAAACATGGTAAACAATTTAGTCCATTGATTAAGCTTAAATTATAGTTAAATCGATCACATCAAATGACGGAAAAGAGTTGATAAAATATGATCAGAGATGATCCACTGATTAAAACAACAATTAAATCAAATTGTCAAATGGATGGGGAGAGAGAGAGAGGAATAGGGAAAAAGTCATAGGAAAAATGAATTTACCTTAATAATGTGATTCCAAGTTGAGATTATTGTTGATTGTCATTTTGTTGGAAGTTAATTATTGTCACTAATTGTGATTATATTGTCAACGATTAAGATGACAAAATGTATAAGATGAGGATGAGGATTAAAAGTGTGTCTATTTACTTGTAAAGGAAGAAGATTAGATGAAGTTTCTTCAATTCGATTTACTGTAAAAATGATTTTCGTTTCTTTAGTTTAACAGGTTTGGCAGCTCTCCATCAGCTCTCTTGCTCCCTTATCATCATTATCATCTCTCTCTCTCTCTCTCTCTAAAATTATCTTCTCTTACTCCCCTGATCCTCTTTCTCTTTCTCTCTACTTTTTATCATCACTTTCTCCTCAATCTCAATCTCTGTCTCTGTCTCTATTCATTTATCTTCATCATTCAAAGTGTAATCAATTTCTTAACCATTGATACATATTCAATATCATGTAAACAATTAAAATGATCACAATTAAAATTAATTATTACCCTAACCGATATTAACCTTGATTGTTGTTGATTTTACCTTCTCCAAACTATTTGTAAATAAAAGTTTGATTAACTTCCTCTCTCCCTGTTGTTAATTATTTCAACATGATTTCTGATCTGATTATAAATTAGATTGAAACTTTTTCCATTCTCACGAATTTAAATTGTCCAATTTATTGGAAAACATGATTTATTAAATTACCTGATTACTGATTATTTATTTGTTCAATTAACAGCAAATTTAACACAATTAAATTTTGTATTAACTTGTGTTTAGGAGATTTGATTGTTAATTTCACTTTAATTGTTGATCAAATCAAATCGCGTAAGAAAAAAGTTTTTAATTTAGTTCAGGTAACTATTGTTAACTGTTTAACAATCAAAAAGTCAAGAATTAAATTGTAAGATATTTAAAACCATTGTTATGAACAGAAATTGATTATCAAGGTTATATAATAAATTGTTGATCAACTTACTGAAAATCAACAAACAATTAACACAAATCAACTTAAACTAATCCATTCGCTTACTTAATTGTAACAATTAAGGTTACAAAATAAGTTTATTAACTTCATTTACTCAATTGGTTATTGATTAACAAATTAAATTGTATCTCATTTTGATTGATTTGATTCTCATAGTTTGCTAATTGTCATCGCTATTTAACAATTAAAAACCCAATGTAAGAAACACTGATTTAAATTGATTGTCAAGTAAATCAAATTATCCTTGACTACCAATGAAATTATTGAATATTATTAATAAAAAGAAATAGTTTATTGTCAAGATAATTTATCTTTTCCTGTTTTTCAACAATTAACTTGATTAATCAATGACATTATCGAGAATTTGATTTTTAAAGTCAACAATTAACTTGGTTGTTAGGTTTATAAACAATTCATAATCAAAGATAATCATAATGTTAATGATTAAAATAAATTGCGACAATATCTAATCCTTAATCCAAGCGTATCAGAGTTACTTTAAATAACATCGTGACAATAACAACAACAACAACGCAGTAATTAGTTAATTGTTGACGATAATGATGAAAAAAAAAACAAGTTACTCAACAAAATACATACAAAACACTTAAAGATATGAAACAAGTTGACCAACAGGTAGAAACAAAAAGTTGTGTCCAGTCAAAGTTTCTCAAAGGTAAATTTTGAATTTCTAATTATATGAGAGACACAAGAAACACTTAACATGATGACCTCCTCTTTTTTTCAATGGTAAAAGTAGTAACAAGGCCATTGATGAGAGAGAAAGAGAGATATGATGATGATGATGAAGATGGAGATGAAGATGAAGGTGGGAAAGAGGGAGAAAAACCAGTTTACCTGGTGTGCCGGTGGTTCGTAGTTGTGATGGTGGTTTTTACTTTTCTTTCTGTATCAGAGAGAAAAAAAATCACTTTGGTAGCCTGAGGAGTCGTTGGAGGCTCTAAGAAGCCTCGAAGAAGATGAAGATGATGATGATGATGAAGAAAATGTACAAGAATGTAAAGGTAAATGATGATTATTATGATTATGATGATGAATTTGAAAGACAAGAAGATGAGAAGAAAGTGAAAAAGAAAGAGGAAAGATGAAGATGAAGATGAAGGTTTGGTGATGATGGAAACTATTACCTAGAATAAAAAAAGAAGATGAAGAATAAAAAATTCGCGCGCCAAAGAAACGAACCAAAAAAGAAAGGGAAGATTAAAGAACAAGAAAGACAAGATAAGATAATGATGATGATGATAGTGATGAGCGGAAGATGAAGATGAAGAAGATAATTTCTGTTTCTAAAGTATATTTATCTTGTTGAGATTCCTATGATTATATCGAGAGAGAGAGAGAGAGAGATGGAGATGATCCCAACCCAAAGTAAATTGGAATCGATTAGAAAAGCAAATCTTTTAATCTTCTCCATCATCATCTTTTCATCATTTATCATCATTTATCCGTCTTCTTTTTCATCTTCTTTGTTTTAATAAAATTCAATTTACATCATATCGTCAATATATTCTGATGATGATGATGCTGATCCTCATCCAGAAGCTCAACAAACAGAAATTAATATAAGAAGAAAAAAGTTCTCGATCAATTCAAGGTAACCTCAAAATCTCAAAGTGAAAAAAAAAGTAAAATTGAACACAAAATGTTACAAATGAACCTTAAATTATTATTATTGATTCAATCTAAAAATAAGATGATAATTTTTGATGCATCATCTTCATCTTCATCTCCATCCTCATCTCTTTTTTTTTGCCTTATAACTGAATGTCATTCATTCATATTATTTATATATACAGATAGAGATGATTTGATAAACCGGCTTGATACGAACTACTTACCTCTTTCTCGTTGATTGTTGGTGATTAAAAGATGATGAAAATCAAGGTAACAGGAGGGATTAAGATGATGAGGATGATGAAGATGATAGAAAATGAAATCCAGGTAAGTATTAAGGAAAATGGATATAAATCTAATTCATTAATTCACATTAATTTAAAAGAGTAAAAGTTTACATCTAAAAAACTATTAACATCAATTATCATTTTTCAACAATCAAAGTGAAATTAATTGTTAAGATACTAATTGTAAATTCATTTTTTGTTTTCTTTTACAATTAACAAAATATTAATCTGCTTAATCATGACAAACAATCAAAATAGTAACAATTATAATTCAGTTACATTGTTATTAATAAGTTTCAATCCTTTATTATTATATTTTTTTTTTTGGTTAATTGTTTGTTGATTGTAAAGCAATTTAGTGAAAGGGTAAGACAAAAAAAATTGTTACGCTAATTGTTAACAATTAAACATTGATACTCATTATGATGTGCTTTAAATTTTCACAATCTAATGATTGTTATGATCAATTGGGATTCCATCAAATAAATTAAACTAATTTGCAAGTCGACTAATCGTCGTGATAATTAAGTTAATCAATCCAGTGATTTAAATGAGATTTTTGTTTTTCATTTTAACGATAATTAATCACAACAATCAAGTTTTTGATTTCCATTAATAATAGACATTGACTATTAACTTATATATATATGATTGGACTTTTCTTATTGATAAATTAAGCCTTGATTATAACGGTAATTTTGATGAAGATTTTGATAAACAGACAAAAAAACTTACCTGTAAATTAATACTATTGATATCTCATCAGATTGACCTGGATTTTTCATCTTAATCTGATTTTTATTATAACTGTCATCTTAAATCTCTGTCAATCTATCAAATCATCATCATCTTACCTGTAAAAATGATCAAGGTTGAGATAAAGATTAAAATAAAGATGAAGATGAAGGTGATGAAGATAAAGATTATATACATTTAAAATGATAGGGCAAAGGTTTATATGTATGAGTGTGTGTGTTTTTTTTTGCTAACTGTTGACCTACAGTTTTTTTTACCGTTATATTGTTAATGATCCGATGATCGTCTAATATACAATCATCCTCATCATGGTCACTTTGACATTCAATGTTATCATTTGTTATCAAGTTTATTATCTACTTATTTTAATGATGATACTGAATTTAAGTCATCACATAATCTCAATGAATCTAAATTAAAGTGACAAAAATAAACTGTTACTTTATTTCAACACCGATCGGTTCAAATTCATGAGATGAAACTGAGATTATTGGTTTGAGTCTTAGAACTTTTTGTTTTTGTTTTTCTTCATCTCTCTCTCACTCACTCTCTCTCTCTCTTCTCACCTATTATTATTTTCATCAGTATGATGATAAAAGCATTGAAATAACTAATCGTTCAGCTGAAAATTCATGGGAAATTGAGAGATATAAATTAGCTACAAGGAAGAGAAAAGTTTTGATATAATTTTAGAAAAGATTAACAGAAAGGAACCAGAAAAAAATTTCGAAAATTATCAAACCGATGACTCTCTCTCTCTCTCTCTCTCTCTCTCTTGTCATCCTCATCATCAAGGTGTGATTCCAGTCAATGCACCGATTAACCCGCGAAAAAATATTCATCATGAAATTGGGGAAGATTGGAAATTAGTTTTGTCTGAAATTCATTCATTTACCATGAATGAATTGGAATCACTAAAACAATACAAAAAAAAAGTTAAAACAATAAGTTACCAATTGTTTTATTTGTTTACTATTGATAACCGGTAACAATCAACAGGTAATAACAATTAAGAAAGGTAATTAAACAACATCAACAACAGTTTAAAGTTTATAAAAATGTTGACAAATAGATCATTAAATTTAACCAGCAACAATTTAGGTATTGTAAATGATAATCTAAATGGACAATTAGTTAAATGATTAGCAAATACAAGATTGTTGGACCATCTCGTTACCCTTAATATATTTTACAAATTGTTACAATTAACTTTTTAAATTGTTTTCTTTTAACGGTGTTAATGTTAAAATCTCATTAACAGACACATTAAATAATAATATAATTAACTCAACATTAGGTTTTAATTTGTATCACAATTAACTGAATAACTTATATTGTTTTCAACTTGAGATTCTCGGTATTATTAATATCATGTTGGAATTACAATTAAATTTAATTGTAGCCATTTAATTATGCAATAGTTTGATTTATATATTATTATTAAATCTCAAGTGAAACTAATGTTTTTGTATTGTAACAATTTAGTAAATTATTTATCATTAGTTGTTATTGTTAATTGAAATCAATTTCTTATGCCAATCAATTATT